GCACCTCAAACGCAACTCACACGAGTCCTCCGCGGCCGTGTACCGCCGCCGGTGCCAAATCCGATCGTGTTCGACAGCGCGTTTCGCGAGTCCGAACGAAGTCGGACAGCTGGCGAAATTGATCGACGTGATTACGGATATTTCACCAGGCAAATAAAATTATTGGTCTCTATCAGAGTCAGAAATGTTGGCACATCTATCAATGCTAATTAATACGCCTGTGCCGTCCATCATTTGGTTATCAAGTCATCCCTTATGATCCATCATACATTATACTGGCCAGGAAATTATTTTAAAGTTACGCAATTTATTATTTGTTATTATGCTATTTATCATTTACATGTACATATTTTCGCAATTTTTTTTATTGTTAGCGTAGAAACTTAAAAGAGTTGAAGTGTCTATGGTTAGGAAATCCGTTAAACAAAGAATGCCCGCGATTATACAGTTACCGCAGAGAATGACTCGAGTTTTACAACGTTTTAATTGTGTTAACACGAAACTGTCGTGCGACGACGACGCCGGAGGTCTTCATTTGTCCGCGTCAGTGAATAATTAGATAATCTGTGGGCGAACGAGCCTAGAATTAAGCGCCGCACAATGTCGTGCGATGGTTCTCCACGCGAATTAACAGGTGGGCGTTAATTCTAGTAGTTAAAAAGCGCTTGGATCTCTCGCGTCCCGCGGAGAAAGTCGCCGCGGAGCTTTTCGTGTAAATTCACATCCGGGTGAGCAACGGCAATTGCAACACGCGCAGCCATCACCATTTCTTTCCCGGTTTTAAACGGAGGAGAGATGACGGATAGCGGGCCGTCCCGTTGGGAGTCGGCTTAAGTCGACGCTCCCAGAGTTTGATTGTCTTTGATTAATTACTCATGCTGTTTCTTGGCCGGCGGAAGCCGACGGGTAGCAATCTAGATAATACGTAACTGTATTAACGGTCCGGCGTAATCTTTTTTTGTTTCTTAAAGCGAAAAATGTTCGGCGATGTTTGATAGAAGGGAAGACGATCGAACGAAAAAGATTACTCGAGTGGCGGTCGTGTTTCTGGTTTTGTTACTCGATATATCATAGCCGAACAAATTACATCAAGTAGTGATGTAATTTGTGTAATTTTCTTTTGTTTATTTTCAGTTTTATAATATTGATGATTAAATTTAAATTGGCCAATAAATCAAGTATCTCCATCATACTGAACTCATTAATTATAAGCTAATTAAACATGTGATAACTCAGACAATATTTATTAGATGCGTGAATCAATTTGTGATAAATGTCTCGAGTAGAATTTTTTTTTTTTTTATATGAGATGTAGATGTGAAACACGTGATTCCTTTTGATATGAGTGTCGCTTCCGATTACGATCAGGTTGATATTTACAGAGGGATCGTTAGCCGAGAATCGTTGGTGTATTTCTGCGATAAATACTATAATTAACGACGACGCGTTAAGATTAAGCGTTATTCGATTACACGGATTAACTGT